CGAGTACGTTGATGCGCTTCTTGAACTGATGGTGCAGTAGTTTACTTTCAAGGGATCTTCAGTCTAAGCTTCCGACAGTTGTCATCAACAGCTTTTCCTGCGCGCTCTTGCCTTAAGACGGGGTGAGGGTTGCATGGGCGCTGGCCGGCACCTCAGTCCGTGCTGAAAAGGGATGCAAAAAGGTTGTAGGTTGTTTTTGGGCTTAGGGGTCTAGGGGGTTCAGGGGTTTGGGGTTTTGGGGCTAGTTAGGACTTTGAGCGGAAGCCCTCGATCACGGCGATGGTTCCAGCCATCGATTGCCTCCCTTCGAGGGCGGAGTCTTCGCGAGTGTCAGCCCGCATGTCAACCTTTGACATCATTAAGTCCACTGTGACTGGGAGGAAAAGCTCGGCATTTATGGGCCCGGCCGAGAGCATGTCTAAGGAGGCAAGGCTTGATTCAAACAGGTATTCCGTGGTGGATGCCGAGATTATTCGCGGTATCCCTCTGCGTCGATCTCTTAGAGGAATCGGCCGGATCTGGCGCTACCAACCTGCCACGTGGAAACCGGAGGAACGTGCTGAACTTTACGATCTCTCGCAAAGGGTGCTTTACTTCAATGTCTTCTTGTCGCACACCTGGCACACGCCTGGTTGGCAGAAGATTCTGGCTCTCTCCTTCCAATGTGGCTGGCGGAGTACGCTTGCCCTTTGGTGTGTGGTGGAGACTGCCTGCATGGCCCTTTGCATGGTGGATGTGCTGCCGATGCCCCTGGTGTTCCGGGAAACTGTGACCGGCTTGATGGTCGAGTCTTGTCCTTGAAGCAGAAACCCCAACCACTACTCTAAACCCTACACTCACTCTCTGCACTGGCATGAAGGTTCGGTCGGAACTTTATGCCACAAACGCTTAAGCGTAAACTCCATTCCTCAGTTTGGAGGAAACTCCTCCATACGTACCGAACTATGGATGCTTTTCCGGGCTCTCAGCCGAAAGGGCAATGACACTCTTTCCTCCTCTCTGCTTGCCGTCCGCTTCAGACCTGCGGAGCCTGAAGAGCACCCGCCGCCAACAATCATTGACACATCCGCACCCCAAGCCCCAAGCCCTAAACCCCAAGCTAATCTTCTTTCCGTATCACGCCGACCTGCGACTATGGAACCTCGCCTGGCTTGTCCGAGTTGTGAGAGCGTAAACTTTCCTCCAGCCTAGGAGTGCCCCATGGGCATATGGGTTTTCGTTTTTGGTGCTCTCGCGCTCCTCCTGGGCTTGCTCTTTACGCCCTACCTGCCCTCCGTTTGCAGCTCGTCGGACATGGGGTTCATCGATGTGGCCAGCATCCACCAGCAGGACTGGAATCGTGGATTCGGGGCACATTACGGTAGTCTGGACTCCAAAGCCCTGCATCCTGAACCCCAAATCCTGAGGCCTGAACCAAACCCTAAACCCAAGGGTCCTATTGAGAGGTGACGTGGGTTCTCTTGTTGTTTTGAACGGGAACTTGTGGCAGTGAACAGCTTCCGCTGAGTTCACGGTGCCCTGTGTAAGGCTAGGACTCTTGTCATGTAAGAGGGAAATCACCCGAACCCTCAGCCAGAAAACAAGACTTGAAAACCCTGACTTAAGCATTGAGGACCGTGCACTCATGGAGCGGGGTGTGTACGGCATTGCCGGGTTTTTGCGTGTTTCCTCGGAGCTCCGCATTCTCTGGAGCGCGCCCTACTTGCCACAGTCTCAGCATGTGTGCACAGGGTTTGGCTTTTGGGGTGATGTCCAGCTCCTCTATGCTTGGTCTGTGGGTGACCATAGAGTCTTCTTCCATTCCGCAAGGGTGTGTTTCTTGTGTTCTTAGCTTGCTTCTTTGCACGAGCGGCTGCCGTTCGAACTGTGAGGAGGTCGCGTGCAGAGAGTACTGACCTAAACCTTAAACATTAAACCCCCTGCAATGCGGGCTCGTCCTTGCTATGTAGGAGGCAAAACAAATCCCTTAAAGCCTTGGATGTTTGTGTTGTCGGCAGGTCTCGTCTGTAGTGCATATTTGAGCTTGCAGCATACCGAAAGGCGGGGATAGCTGGCTCGCGATGCTGCTCGTGCTTGCAGTGTGGTTTATCTTCCGGTAGGGTAGGGCAATGAGTAAGCATTGCAAATTCTACACACGCCATGCCTGCCTTTTGCGAGTGTGTGAGTCGAAACCGTCGAAACCCTAAACCTACGGTGTTGGCTCAAGAGGTCAACCCCGATGGCATCATCCGCTTTCGGCCGCTCTTCGTCGACACTGGGCTCTTGCAGGGGGAACTCTTTTGGATTAGGGTTTAGGAATCATCCAGTGTCTGGCTTTAGGGTTTAGGAGTTTAGGGCCTTTGGGGGTTCGGGGGTTTTATGCAGCCCTCCGTGTTTAAGCAAGCCCGTTTAAGGTTTGGGTGGTCAGCTGCGATCGCGGCGGGGGGTCGAAGCACCCTTGTTAAAGAACTACCCAGGTCTGAACACAAAACCCGCCCTACAGCCCCTAAGCCCACCAAATCCGAAAAAAAACACCCTAAACCCATTAAATTAGGAAAACCACCCTGCACCCTTTAAATCCGAAACAAGACACCTTAAACCCCATAGCCCCAAAAGCCCAGGAAAGGACCGCTTTGGTCCTCCTGATCGCCTGCTTGAGCTTCGGCGCCTACGTGCCGGGTATGTCTCTTGGACCCTGAGACCTTGAATTTCAGACCTTCAAGGATTGGGATGATGGGATTTCAGGGTGTTTTGAGTTTGAGGGTTTCTAGGGTTTCAGGGCGTTTTTGAGATCGTCGTAGGCCACGAGCGAGAACACCGTCTGGCTCCAAACTCCGGAATCCCGCAGCCTTAGCCTTACGCCCTTCACCCGATCGGCTACACCCTGAAGCCCTAACCCAAACTCCGAAGCCCTATGTGCTCCCAAGGTCGGGCAGCGAAGTCGCCTACTATCTTGCCTATCTCTTGTTAACGCTCTTCAACCTGATTACCGTAGCCCTCCTGCGAAGCAACTACCGTGAGAAGCATCAGCTGCTCCTTGGTGATCGTCTTGGGAGCCGGCCTTGCTGGTTTTTCCCGGGGGCTTTTGGAGGGCTTTGGGGGTTTGGGCCGAGTTTGGGGTTTTCCGCGTTGAAGTGTTCGGGTTTTTAGGGTGTTTAGGGTTTTGAGGTTGAGGGTTTTTAGGGTTTGGGGTTGAGGGTTAGGGTCTTTTTAGGGTTTTCAGGGTTCCGGGTTTGGTTCGCTTCAGGGTTTTCGGGGTTTTTGGGCGTTTAAGGTTTCGGCCCGCCTCCGAAGTCAATGCCAGAAGCGGGCTGGTGCACACCCTGCCCGTGAAGATTTTGTGATTTCCCTGTGCCAAGGAGACGGGAGCTGCAGCAGTTCGATCTGAACCAGGTCTCATGCAGGGAGGAGTTTGATCGAGACTTGGCGATGGCCCCAAGCCCAAAGTTGAGGCAGCGCTTTTGTTGGGCCGAAGAGCATGGCGCGCTTGGGTTTAGGGTGTTTTCAGGGTGTGCTTTTGCACCAAGGAAAGTTTATTCATGCGGCCATCTCGAAGTGGTACGGGAGCAAGGTGAAGTTCTTTGAAGCTTTGGGGCTGAGGGTTGGGGGTATTTGGGTCCTATACCCGGAGGCTCAGGTTTCTGGGTTCCCGGTCAGGACGCCTTCACCGAGTTCGTGCGTCAGGACCTGCGGCAGCACCTGGAACCTTGTCTGGCCACCCGTTTTCCCATGAGATACCTTCTCCTCCTCAGTGCGGCTCAATGGTCAGTCAGCCTGGAGTTCGTCCTGGCTCTGTGCAAGGGCGGAGCCTCGCCCAACAGCATCCTGTCCTTTGTCATCGCGATGCTTTTGGGGGTGGATGTCTTTGTTCTTGCGTGCGTCGTTATTTCGAGCAACTACCTTTCTGATCGTTTTGCTGCCCGACGCTTTGGCTGCTTCGATCATGTGCAGACGCTTCTGATCCTTGGGTCCTGTTCAGAAGGATGGATAACTTGTTGCTTCTTGGGGTTGACACTTAGAGAACATCCTGAAGCCCGCGTCAGCGAGGATCACTGTGCTATCTGGCGCCATGTTCTTTGCAGGAAGCTCCCTTGCACAGGCGGCCTATGGCACCAGCCTGGAGCATTGCATCCTCTTCGCAGCTTTGCCCACAGCCAGAGAACTTCAACCAAAAGCCGTAAGCCAAGCAAAGTCCAAATTTCCGGTGTTTGTGGTGTTGGTTTAAGTCCCAAGTCCTTTCCCGTCGAGGTGTTCCATTTGTCAGGCTCCTGGTTGCGAGTGTTTCTGACAGGGCCGGGTCATTGGGCACGAGCTGGGGCCGTCAAAACGGTCCTATGCTAAAGGATCTATGGGGATTTAGAAGGGTTGTATGAAGGTAATGCGTTCCACAGGCGTTTTGTAAGGTTAATCCTGAATCCCAGACCCTAAACCCTAAACCCTACAGGGCCTGGGTTGTGATGTAAGGCAGCAGTTTCCTGTGTGGTGGCTATCTGGTTTTACTGGCTGGACAAGAATGCGCCGATGCCGGACGTGAGCGCACCGCCACAATGATTCTCTCTCCTGTCCATTTGGCGGTTTTCCTGACAGGAGCTGTAGCGAGTCCTCCATCGCCTACATACGTGGTTTGTAGAACCAGGGCAGGTTTGAAGAAGGTGCTGGGGTAGGGTTCATCAAACCGCAAATCATTCGATCGCATCTTCCGGGAACCTCATCTGGAGGTTTGTGGCAGATGGTTTGTGCGACCCTGCAGGAGGTGACAAACGTTCTTGACGGTACCGCCGGTTTACAGCTGCAAAGCAGCTGTCGCTTCGAGTATGTGCAGGAAGGTGTACTATTGTTCATAGGCGGACATACAAACAGAGACACTCACCGAAACACCAAGATGTAAGCCTACCGGCGTCATCTCAGGATGACATGTGCAGGGACGCAAACTCGAACTCTTGTACTGTGGCTTCCCGGGCTACTGGTCTGTTGGCTTTTTGATGTGTTCAGGATTTAAAGTTTGTGGTTTAGGGTTTGAGGTTTGGGGTCGAGGGGCAGAAGCTCTCGTTTCTGCATAAGCTCAGCGTAGGCTGGAGGGCAGTTTAAACCCCAGAGCCTTGAACCCTAGATCAATCCTAAACCCTACATGCCTTAACCCCTAAGCCGCCAATCCTAAACTAGAAACCCGAAACCCAAAGTCTTAAACCCTAAACTCTCAATCCAAGCCGTAATCTTGCAAAGAAATCCTGAAACACCGGTGCTGGGCCTCAGACTTGCAAAGCTTCGTCGTAGCCAAAGCAGCCCAGAACAACCCGACGCGTGCTGCAACCCCAAAACTCACTCCCGAAACCCTACAACCTAAGGTTTTTCAGGTAGGGCTTTAGGGTTGTATAATTTCAGCCCTACGGCTGTGTCGCTGGGATCTTGTTAGTGCGGATCGAGTTTCGCTTCTCATCGAAGACTGGCTCAGACACTGCTGCTAGGATTCCCTTATGGCTGTGCCAGTAGTCGACCGACCTCTTACCTATTAAAGGAATGGGTCGCCAGACTCACCAAGAACGCGCTGTGCAGGGTCGGTCCTCAGAGAGCCTGATACTCTGCCAATCCTTGTATACGGACCCTCTAATTTCAGGCATATTCCGTGATCAAGGGGTATTGGTTCTCTGGGTCTGCCGTACTAGACCCTACTGCTTTGCGGAAAGAAACAGGAGCCAGGGTTGTAGCCAAGGAGCTCCATCTCTGATCTAAATTAATAGGGATGTTCAACACAAATTAAAAATATAATATAGAAATTGATTTGAACTTTAATTCAAATACTATTTGAAGATCTATATTTCTATATATAAAAATATATCTAAATTCTTTCAAATCTCTTAAACAAATAGAATTATATGATTCTTTTAAGATTTTTAGATGATTTCTCAAGATTTGATAGTCTGGTCGTTTGGTAAATCTCAATAATTATGAGATATATATATATATATATTATAAGAAAAAAAGAAATTTTGAATTTGATTGATTTTTATAATTAGAAAGATATTTTCGTAGACAGTATTTTAATTTCTGATTAATTATATAAAATGATAAGGATTTCTTTTAAAATCGGATTATATTTTTATTTATTCGGTATTAATAGAATAATAATGGATACGAGATTTAAGGTAGGAGTTGAATCTTTGAAAGGACCTATAATATGCAGATTTCTCTTATTTCTTATTTATCTTATTTGGAATCTCATATTTGAATATAAATTCTATCATAATAAATATTTCTTATTATTTTTTATTCAGAAAACTCTTGTATTTCTTTTAAGATTGATATTTAAGAGGTCGTTTAGTAAATCTCAATAATTATGAGATATAGTTTTTTTTATCACATAAAAAATTAAATTTGAATAATTTTTATAATTAGATAGATTTGCTTTAAAAAAATGCAATTTTTTTTTTAAAGTTAAGATTATACTTTGATTTATTCGATATATAAGTGTGGGTTAAATAGAATGAAAAAAATTGATATTAATATAATAATAGTGGGCGCGGGATTTAAAATAAGAATTATATCTTTATAAAGAAATAAATTATAAAGATTTTCTTTTATTTCTCGCTTATCTTGAATAAGGCCTTGTCCTTGCATATAAATTATATTCCGATAAAATTTTCTTATTATTTTTATTCAGAAAATTATTAAATTTCTTTGGCTGGACTCTTAAATAAGATTAATATTTAAGATATATAGCAAATTCTTGGCATATTTTGCTTCGACAATAATTTCTTATGATATAGAACCTAAAATTTACTAAATAACCTATGCCGGGCGCGGGGCTATATTTTTCAGATTGATCGCCTGATCTTATGGCAAATACCTGATTCCAATAAAGAATCGTATTTCTTTATGGAAAATTTCTAGTATTCGATTGAAATTTAAATCAAGATATATCTTAAATCTTATGCCTGACTAAATTATACTAATTTTATAAATAAGAATATATTCATTTAAATATATATATCAACTATATATTTCTTTAATATATGAATAATTCTATTCATCATATATATATATTCTGGATTATTTAGATTTGATGAAGAATCTCAGAAGAAGATTTTAGAAGAATTTTCTCTATCTTCAAGATTTGACAAGACCTATTAAAAGATAATTTAATCTTTTCTATTTTTTGAGATTTGAAAAGGAATCTTATAAGAAGATATATAGTTTATTCTATATTTTTATATCTTGTTGAAGCTCTTTATTTCGAAATATATCTCGTTCTTATAGAAATTTTGAAAGAATACGTATCGGATTTTGCGAAATCTTTATAGAAATCTTTTTGATATATTATTTATATGGAAATTATGATCGGATTTCGAAAAAAATATGGAAAATCTGAATCCGGGATATGGAGAGAATATAGAAAATCTGATCAGGATATAAAATGAATAAGAATATATGGTGGGATGAAAATAAGAATTTAGGGAAATAATTCGATAAAATTCGACGGATCTATAGAATAAATTCTAGAAGAATTTATGATAATCTATATCATGAATATGAAAAAAAAAATAAAAAATATTATAGAGAAAGCCAAATTCAAAATTTGAATATATATTATATTATGATATAGCTATGATATTTATAATATCTTTCATAAATATTTCAATAAGTTTTTGTCGAAAAATTCATTTCTTATTCTATAAAATTATCTAAGTCTCCAACGTAATTTTTTCCATAAAATATCATTTCTGATTTATGCTTCTCCAATTTTTCTATAATCTGATCAGAGTTTCGAAGATCTTTTTGATCTAGATCCGAATCTTGGGGGGAAAAAATAATCTTTTCGATCCTCGTTGAGAACTCAAATCTATGGTATCAAAAATCGGTGACAAATCTCAATAATATTTAGTCAGAGTCGAAAATTGTTAGGCCTAGACTTCTGGAATATTTTTCAAAATCGAAAATGATAGCAAGGAATTATGTAAAATGAAATCCTATCATGCAGAAAATAATCTTTGATCAGAGCTGAAAAATTTTGGAGAACCAGATTTACAATTATAGAAAATAATTCTTATTTCTCGATTTTATAAATATCTTTATGAGCTGATGATATAAAAGAAATAAAAATTTAAGAAATATATTTCGAGTTTCTCTTCAAATATTCAATTTAATTATAATTCAATAATGATTATAAAAAATTTCGATATCTTATCTTTCATATAATATCATTTAATTATATCTAAATTCTTTAAATTATGATATTTCTTATCCCTTATAATTATTTTGCTAATAGAATAATATTCTAGCTTCAAGCAAATCATATTCCTTAATCGCAGACTATCTTAGTTTCGAAATTAGGGTTCTCCTATTTTCTATATTTTATATCTTATTATATATTCAAGATATTCTCTTTAATATATCTCATATCTATCTTCTATGCTATGTTCTTCAATTCATATTCTAATCCGACTACGGCTTTTAAATAATTAAATTTTTTCCAAAAAAATATTAGAATCCAAATCAAGAAAAGATCTTATAATTCAATTTCTTATCTTAATCTATTCAAGTCATAATATAATAAAAGAAAGAATCAATGAATAATCGAAAATATCGAAATCATTTATCAGTCTCTCTCATAAAAAAAATATATATATTCAAATCAATGAAATAATAAATGAACATATGAATCGCGGCTCTCCTATATCTCTCTTCATATCTTTCTTATATCAATTCCCATTATATTTGAAATTTTAATTGCTATTACACAAGAACCACAATATTATTCAAAAGTTGAATTCTTCGTATGTAATCATATTATTTTCGAAAATATATTATTCGATATTAATTTTTCCATACCTTCATAATTAGATATGAAAATTCGTCTTCTCTAATATATCGTATTATATAAATATTGAATCATTTTCGATATACTAGTCAGAATATTTATGATCTCTAAAGAAGCATTCGGCAATTTTCGATAAGCATAAGAATATTTTCTGAGAGATTGAAGATCTTTATCTAATTACATTAGGTCGATGCCTCTCGAATTCGAAATGAAATGGACAATTAAAAATGAATTTCGAAACAAAAATACTAAACTAGACTCTTTATAATGCCCGAAAACTACTTTCAATATTCCTTATTAACGACGAACCATGAACCGTCCTTGACAGCGTCCAAACCACTCCCAGATCTTTATGAAATATGAGTCTCATGTCCTAACTTCCTCCAAGCATGTGGGCATATATTGAGACGAAGTGTTGCCTGGAAAATGCATGTGTCTCTTGTTGGGTGCTTGGGAGGTTACCATGACGTTCAATAAGTATGCCGGCTTCGGTTTGGCTAATCGGATCAACCCCCAATTCTGTGTATCAGTCCATGTTGCCTTGGCTAATGCAAAATCCAGCATCGACCCTGTTTTATCCAATATCGAATCAATGATTAGCCGATGCCTCTTGCTCGGTGAAGTCTTTCAGCAACAACTTCGACCTTGGAGCAACTTTCTCATGTGCCGTCTGCAGGTCTAGACGACATGTCTCCTCGAATTCAGTGAAGTGACGAATCGATCACAAGAAATTTAGGATGAATGGAAACAATCTGCACTTACACCGAACGGATGTTGGTTCAGGAGCGCTGCAAAAGACTATGTAGAGAGTTGTTGCCTGTCTTCTAGAGAGCATATATTCCTCTGAACATACTTCCACCACTTGAGTTTCAGAATTTCACTGCTTCAGCGCTGTGTGGGCTACTATGTTAAGGGCTTCTCCTTACTATAAAGGTCATTGTACAGGTATGTACACAGGCACTTGAACTTCGGCTATAGGGTTCAGGGTCTGGGGCTGGGGCATGCCAGTTCAAGGGCGTGGAGCCTGGCTGCTAGAAGGGCCTCTCGTCACTATATGGGTGGTTGTCAAAATTATGGTCCCGTTTTGGGTCCTTATTATAATACGGCACCTATTATTTAGGGTACCCCAAAAGGGACCATAATTTTGACAACTACCCATATAGGACATTGCACGGGGATAAGACAGAGAGTTGCCGTAATGTAAGGCTTAGGCTCTCCATCCGGGGTCATCCGGATTCTGTGACTTTATTTTGCATTTCTGGCCCAAGTGCTGTTGTGATGAAGGGAGTATAAGTAAGGCTACTTTCAGGGCACGTGAACGTGGTGTCCACGTGACTGGTCATATCCCGATTCTATGAATATTCGGCCCAGTTCTTCAAACCACCAGGTCCGGCGTTACGAGTCAGAGCAGTCGCCCAGCCTGTCGCCTCTAGTACCGGTCCTGAACCCTTTGATGCAGGTTGCACTGCTTCTACAGACTGTGTTCTCAACTACAGCAGTCCACCCCAACAGTGTCGATTTCGCAACCCGCAAACTTGTAGAAGACTTAAGCCTAGCTTGCAAATCGGTATAGTGTTTAAGGTTTGGGGTTCGAAGGTTCTCAAGCGCATTCCCAGCGGCATCTCGTCAATCGACTTCCGGAGCTCCAAGGAGATTTCATTTGAGACCCGTTTTGTTTCAAACATCATCTCTGTGAAGGCAGTTCCGTCCACTTTGTCGGACTGTCAGGTAAAGATGGGCTGGGCACACTACGGTGACAGGTAATACTACACAGGCTGCATTACAATGCTGTTGATGAAGCCTGAGAAGTAGCGCCCTGCATAACTTAAGACCACCTCCCCGTTCGCCTCCACGGCAAACGGGTGAAGAAAGACCCCAATAATATCCCTTTGCTACGACTACATGCAATCTTGGCCGTTGCCCGTACGGAGGCTGAATGCCCACTCCACCACCTTGCATGGTGATACTCATTTGTCTCGCCATCCTGGTGGAATATGAAAGCTGAGTTGTTGATACCATGGACATCATAGTTGCTGCTGCACGAAACATGAAAGTACAGAAGCGAATCTAACAAGTCTGGCACGTGCGAGTCAACAATGAAGTATCACTACGCTGTGTTGTCCATTCGTTTAGGTCTGGTTGGGAATACTTTGGAAAGTGTTCACCGTCTTTGACTCACACTCACGGGTTTGATGCAAGCTCTCTTTGCATTGGCTGAGCGTTGTCTCTTTGGCATTGGCTTAGTGTAGCTTGACATCGCAGCTCAGCCAACGCAAGACCTGCCCGTGCCTCCGGCCCATGTCGGGCTGCTAAAGCACGAAAACATCACAGATTGAAAGTCTACATGGTTCCGGTGCCAGCTTGGCGCACATAAATGTGGAAACTGCAAGGATACACTGCGCTCGTCTCGTACCTGGGCAGGCAGTGCAATATGGGCCTGTGCACTAACGACCACCTGGTGGACAAATTGAGGTCTGAGTCTTGGACTGGGCTCACAGAAGGAGAACAGCCGTGCTTGCAAAGCCTTGCACGCAGGACGCACAGGTATGGTCTGCGTCTTTCTGCAGCGCTTGAAACTTAGACTTTACGCTCCATCAACAAGCCAGCAGTGCCATCAATATTGATCAGCCCACCAGTTAGAAAGGCGAACGGCCTAAGCTGCAGAAGCACAAGCGAGCTGCCGGGCGCCCTTTGCAGCACTGAGTCGATCATGTGAGAAATCTGGGACACCAGCAGAATCATCCAGGACTTGCTTGTGCAGTGGGGCTTTTCTTCTGAGAGCTGCGACTGAACAGGAATGCGAGATTGCAATCATTCGGCTTCGAGGTTTCGAGTCCGGGCTCTCCAGCTCGCATGCAACCTTGAAGTTCTTGCTTTGGGAGCTTTGCAGCTAACTTGAAAGACACCGCCATGTGCTCCAGGTTTGTCCTATGTAGTCCTCTCTGGCTTTCAGATTATGTCGGCCTTTGTTGCGGATGCCCCTCTGCCATCCGGTTGCCTTGGAACTGGAATTTCGGACACCGCAACTGGCAATGGACGATTCTTACTAGGGCTGCAGCAGCACATTGGAGAACACGAAGCCCATGAATGCCACGAGGATGACAGCCTGGATCAAAGTATTAACTCAAATCTGAAGCCCTGAACCCGAGACGACTATAGCTAGCGTACATATGAGGGGCTTGTTGCCAGGGCATGCTTTATCGCAGTACATCGGACTGCCATGTGTGGAATGCGGAAGCCTCTTGAAGCACATGGACAAAGCTTCCACCCGTCTCACAGGTGCGTCCTCAGACCTTCAGCCTTTCTTGCTCCAGTATGACTCCGAGTGATTTAACCCGCCCCCCCGCACAAAGCCTGCAGCAGCTTCCAATCCGTCAAGATCTGCGTAAACATACGGCATTCGGCCAAAAGCGCATCACGGCATTGTTTGGCCTGATTCACAGTCCCAGGTCCAACTTCTCCTGTGATTTCCCGTCACATAGTTGCGCTCATTGAGGCGATCTAAGGCGAATCGCCAGGGTCGTCGTCGGAGGGTCCAACTTTTGTCCGGAACTCTTCGTCTTTGCGGGGTTCGCATTCGGCAGGATCGGCTTTCTGTGGTCTCTGCAGCCTCAGTCCTGCACTGCTTCCTGCCGCCTGCGGCTCGCCTGCACTCCTGCCACTAGTCAGTTCCACTGCAGTCCTGCATTCCAACGGCCTTTGCAGGAGTTCCAGCTGGCTATTGAGACCGTAGCATTTCGGATGCTCTGCTGATCCCTAAACTTCATCAACCCTTAAGTTCTCAAGTCTTGAGCAGTAGATAATACTAGGATTGGTGCTAGTCCTGGTACTTGTAGCAGCCATACTCCTGATTTATCGTAAGCGTTGGTACTGAGACTAGCAGCAATACTAGGGACTGTCCAGTCCCTACTCCTTTCTTTTCCTAGTGTGTAGTATCAACATTACTGCTGATGGTAGTGGTCCTTGTGCTCCTGGTAACATTACTGCAGTCCTCGTTGCCTCTGTAGCAATTTTCGTTTCAGTCCGAGCCGAAACCGCGACATCTCCCTTCCGAGCCTTTGTGCACATTCAGGGGGCTTACGAGAGAGGCACGAAAGTAAGCTTCCCACCCTCTTCAACACAACACAGGTTGCAGCCACGTGAACCGCCTGGCCTGTATCCCATTGTGGATCATCTTCGCGGCCTCTTCGCAAAATCCATAGAGGATCATATCTGGGACTTTCAGTAAAAACAGTTGGAAACTCCCATCTGTATCTCACTGGTGCACGTTTAACCCTGATGAAGCAAGCTTCGAATGAACTCAGTGGACCGTGGCCTGGGTAGTAACAGAACGCATTGGCAAATAAAAGGATAGCGTGACCTCAGACAGCAAAGGGGCAAGACCATGGTCCCTTTTCTTGTCGTCAGTCTTCTTCGATCAGAAAAGCTCAGCACAGCACTAGCGCTCCAGCAAAGCCTGCCGAAAAAAGCTTCTATCATGTGCTGTGAGAGTCTCGCCTCTGCCCGACAAAGTGATCCAGCACTAGTTGAGGTTTGGGGGCTTAGGGCTTCGTCTCGCCGACTGTTGCTTCTTCATCATCCTTAAAATCCTTAGCTTGCGTGAGACTCAGACGAGCCCGTGCACCGTGCCCACGAGTTGGAGGGAAGCATTGCTGGAGCTTGTGGTGCTCCCTCCGAAGCCACACCCCTTCCGGTTACCTCCCAGCGGGAAAACTTCGGATTCGGCCTTGGCACCCGGGCCGGACGAAGCCATGGGATGCCCGCAAAGCCGCTGAAACACTGAGCCAAAAGGCGTGATTTGCGGGGTGCGCGGCTGATGGTGCAAGACAACAAGCCCCGTAGACTAATGCCTAGTTCCATATGTCAAGCAAACCATGAGCGACTCGCTATCCGAGGACGAAGTCCTAGGTCCTAGGTGAGCATTGAGGTTCGCAAGGTGGGGCCAACGTTGTTGCAAGTGTGGGACCGGAAACATCAACCGAAAGTTAACACATCGTACGACAAGCCAAGAACATCGTGACAGCAGTGAACTCGCAAGCCAACGAGGAGTACTAGAAGCAGCCATCTTGGCACAAATCATGCCAATGCGGACCACGCTGGGAGTTGATCGGACTCTGCGTTGTGAAGGCGGTCGCAGTGAGCGTTTAGGTAGTCAACGTAACACACTTACGAACAAGCTGAGACCAGCAGGGGCAGTGGCGGCAGCAACCGTGGCCATGGTACGGCAAAACACGAACATACCAACAAAAACATGTGAAGGGTATCTCCGTCTTCAGATTCATCGGCTTTCTTGCCGATGCAAGGGAATGCCTGACTTTGAAAGCTCACCCAAACCACTGCAGTCACAGGTGCAAGCTCCGATAGTCACGGCAGATGCAAGAAGACGTCCGCAAACAAGACGCAACAGTTGGGTGTTAGGGCATGTGGGGTAAGTCTGCCATCAGAGAGTGAACGTCTTGCACACCCGCTCGGCGAGATCAGATTAGAAGGACTTTGATTTTCGTTTCGAACTCATCATGGGCAGAATTGCACTTGTCGGCCAGTGTGCTGCACACTGGGGCTGGGGCAGCCGCCAAGTAAATGCAGTAAGGTTCAAGCTTCACGGATACAGTAGGCAGCATGGCGTGGAGTGGCACTGCCCTTTCCACCAGCATGTGCAAGCCGCGACTCCAGCAGAGACCACGGCCAACTCCGCAGCTGATCAGTTTCAACTCTGAAAGGCAAGTGCCAACATCACGATGTCGCTACAACGTCGCTTCTATGTTCTTCGGTGACCACAGCAAGTTGCAGCTTCACGCAAGCATGTCAACAATTCAGGCACGTGGCATGCAGCGACACTGTATGCAGCGCATGCACGTAAGACTTCGTTCTCCGTGTCAATGCCACCCTGCAGGCGGATCAGGATGAAACGGACATTGAGATGTGCTGCTGTCATCACTGGCGCGATGAAAGCCCTGTGCCAAGACCACCCGAGACAAGAACGCATCAGTCTGGCATCTCCGTCAATCTCCCAGCGGAGACTTCGGATTAGAAGGACTTTGTTGATTTGCAGTCATCACATCCGCTCGGTTTCGCAGCCATGCACGGTTGAGTGCACCGACATTGAAGCAAGCGCACGGTTCCCTACTGCGCTGCAGCCGCTGCAAAGGCACAACGCCTCAACCCACCTGCTGCAACCCATTGCTGTGCATCGGCTCTGCCAAGACATTGCGAATTCAAAGCAGAGTTTTTCTACGCGCTCATTGCGGATCTCGTATCTTTCAGGAGGCTGCAATGGCCCCGATCACTTTCGTGACGATTCAGCGCACCACTGCATCAGACAGATTCGCATGATTGAGAAGGCCGGAGGCCGGTAAGCTAACAGGCATGCACACGGATTCATCTGGCAGGCTGTGGAGCTGTCTTGGACAGGCACGCACAGGGTTCCATACAAATCCCTACAGTATCTTGCTACCCCGAAAAGGCTATCATGCCCTCACTTGATCGGTGAACATCCGAGCTGCTTGTGAATCTGCTGAACGAGTCGAGTCAAATATCGCACGCGCCTGACCAGAATGCTACGGCCCTCGGGCCTAGCGCGGAAAGCAACGACACGGCGAGAGAATCGCAGCCGGACAATGCCAAGGCACAGCCGAATCGAAATGATGTCCTGAAGTCGAAGGGCACAGGCAGACAGGAAACACACGCTCTGAAGAGCGGGTTTGGATTTCCCACAGCTTGCCAAGCTTCCGTCTTCGAAACTGGCCCTCGGCACTTCATCAGGCCTTCGATGGTCTCGCTAAACCTCGGTCCGGATTCTGTGGATACACAAGGTAGTAGTCGGGCAAGACACCAGGGCTGCGACGGCAGTTTTCCTGATAAATCAGTGTCCAGCACATCGAACAGTTCGAATTTGCTGGACGTGTCCTTGGCAGCATGTCTCTAGCGCCCGTGCCGCACTCGAACCTCGAAAGGCTCTGAGATCCTGGCAATCTCTGTATCATCCAGACACTGAAGTAAATCACTGGACTGGAGGAGCCACTTATTGAATGTTCTCTTCGTGATGATGCATCCTGCACCTTGGGTGCACATAGGCCCCGCCCCTCTTCTGACTGCTCGCGCTAGTATTGCGAAAAATGGTGGCGTCGCTGCCCGCTTCCAGACAGTCCCCAAACCTTGTAAATCAATCTTCCGAGACACGCTTCATCCTCCGCTTTATCCTGGACAAGCCGGAGAGCACGCCGACGGCAGGAAAGCCATTATAGAAGTGTGGGGGAAGGGGCGAAAAGAAAGGCAGGCAAAGAAAGAGAGAGAGGCAGAGACAGATCGAGACAAGTGGAGAAAGAAAGCCCAGTCTAAATGATCCAAATGCAGCCAAGCATCCGATTCGTCCTTCCTTCGTACTCTTGCCTCAGCTTCGATATGACGAATGACAGCCACTGCCGGAGAGAATCGGATTTCTTTGAGCATGTTGACGTTTATGATGCAAGGTCAGTGATGTCAAGCATGACGCCCCAGTGAAAACCAGCCGCAACTGCCCGTGCCCCTATGAAACTAATCAAGCTCATGTGCAATCCCTCCGTACTCTTGCGAGCCAGCATGTTTTCCTGCTCATCTTCAGAGTCATCCTGCGCACGTTCTGCCAGCATGTAGAGCACAAGACAAAGTCTGGTTGGGAAGGACAACTATTTTACAGTTGACAGGAAAAGGCGCCGCACCACACAAAAATGTAGGTGGTTGCCGTTGCTGCTGTGCTGTGCGAGATTTGCGACTAGCTCGCTGCGGTGCCGCTTGTCTCATTTGAGCAGAACCCTCGCGGGCAAGTCCTCGGGGAGCTCCGGGATGACTCCGGACTTAACGCACATGCTTTGCACGGTCTGCGCAAGCTCGAGCTCGGTCTTGTCCGCAGATAGGCCGAGGTTGAATTGCTTTTTCTTCACCTCAGAGAGCCAGAGGAGAAAAGTGGAGCCAGACCCTCCATGCTTCAGCTCCAGCGCTAGCAAACACGAAAGAGAGCAGTTTGGATCGCCAGATGTCAACTTGTTCTTCTCTAGTTGGTTTCAAGAATGCTCTTGAGTTCAGGGGGAAGCCACGCTCCCATCGTTG